ACTTAGTGCCATTACAGAGTATGAATTATATTTTGGAGCTGGGTTCCTCTCTGTTATTAAACACATTTGCTTGTTTCTCAGACTGTTTTCCTTCCTCTGATTGTACCATCTGCTGGTTGCACCACCACAGTTAGTTGTTGTCTCCCAAACATGTGATTATGCCTTCAGGTCGGAGCAGCAGCTGATCCTGCTCCCATTCCTGCGCTTCCACAAAGTGAAACAAAACACAGACAAAATGCTGACAGAAGGAATACACACAAGGGAACTGATCTGTGGCATCTTATGTTGTTATCATGCTTATTAGTATGACATTATCTCTTTTCAGTTGTTTCAGTAGTGAGATATTTAAATGATAGCGTCAAAATATTGGCAGCATGATAAATATTAGATGTATCCTAGCCCAAGAAAGATCAGCAATATGCTGTGCAACTTTTATTTTTTTCCTATGACTTTTTTCCTTCCCTTCTTTCCTCCTCTCTGTTTGCAGCATTAAGCAGTTCAGTTGTTTCAGACTTGTCATATCTTTCTACTTGTGCTATGTGTGTTTTTAAAAGGGTAGCTCCCACTTAATGCCACACTTGAATTATACAAAAGAAAGAAACTGTCCTACTTAGAAGAACACAAAAGAATTTTGCAAGGGAAGTGCTTGAAGTGGGATATGTCAAATTAAATAAAGACCATTGTTATTCATTTTTTCCTCTTGAATAGTTTCAGTTCTGAAGAGTCTAAATTTAGACTTGGAGCAGGAGGTATGGCTTCATGTTGTACATCAGGTCCTACATTTGGAAGAAAGATTTGTGTTGAGGAAGTGGCTGAGGAGTTTTTAGAAAAACCCCAAGTGCTTTGTTTCTCCAAGAAATAGTTTTCTGTGGTTGTATTTATCATGGCGGTCACCTTTAAGGGAAGGAAAGGATAAACTTCTACAGCAAACAGCTTTTCCTGATGCAGTCCAGCAGTGATCCAAAGCCAGGGGTTGTTCATATACAACAGAAAGCTCTTTCTGCTTAAGCTGATGACCAAACCGCTCTGGGCTTTATATCTTTATATGCCTTCAGTAGTCACGTGTTAGAATCTAAACCAACATCCCCGGGTGTTTGGGACCAATGGTGAACCGAGTCTGAGAGCTCCAGCAGTTGCTTCTGTCAGAGGGACAAATTCACGGGTTCTGCAATATTGCAGATATTGCAATATCACCTTTCACATAAAACAGAAACTCTTGCTGAAAAGCTGAATCAAATAACAGGAGAGGGCATCTTTTTCAGCTGCCTACTTGCTTCAAGCAGCATTCAGTCAGAAATCTACTTTTGCTAATGTCACATCTCCCAGTACTTATTTGAGCAATACCCATTTTTTCCTTTGTCTCAAGTTTTCTTTCAGCTTTTCTCACAGGTGCTGTCCACACAAAAATGCCCAGTGGCAATCCCTCCCTGCCTCTCTCCAGAGCGGTTGCTTGAGTGTGCCTTTGTGCTGGGCACTGAGTCTGCAGGACAAGACAGATTGAGCTCCATTTGAACATGGGGATGTGAGTTGAACAACTTAACATACACCAGCCCATCTTGGGGCACCCCATAGTGGAGGTGGTGTCATAGTTTCCTTTTGGAGGGCATGTTCCCAGCAGAGCCAAGGACAGGGACAGTTTCCCAAATCCTTGTCATGGGGACTGCTGAGCCCCATTTGGGTGGGCTGTGGTAGCAGCAAAGAGGCTGTGGGGCAGGAGGGACCTGTGGAGCTATGCAGGAGGAAGGAGCCCATTTTTGAGCTGTTCCTAGGGACAATCTACATATAATTAAAATTCCTGTGCAATCTGAATGCAGAACAGTACTTTATCAACTAAAACTTCTTTATTTAATCTGTTGATTTAATTATGAGCTAGTTAATTGAAAAATTCATGGTACGAGTTCTGAAGGTCAGAATACTCAGAAGTTCAAAGAAGACTGAAGCATTTGTTTCACTCAGGCTCTGACATTCAGTGCTGAGTTACAGAAATCTGCTCTGATTCAAACTGGCAAACTGATCTTGGGACTAAACAACTGAATTGCTAAACAAGAAGACAATTCACTTCCACCCATGAGGTACAAATGTGTGCACTGCCAGACATGGTTAGACTGTGATTGATTTATCTGTCTGTTGTGGCTTCCGAAAGACCCAAGGAGTAACTACTCTTGCAGAGATGCCACCAGCACTGTCCTGTCAGCCTTTCAGCCCTCTCAGGGATGTCTGTGTTGGTACCATGTCCTGGATTGATGGACTTGCAGGCTGAGATGCGCTGAGGGTGACAGAAGCCTCAGACCTCTGTGCTGTGGGTATTGGCAAACCCTGGGCCGCTTCAGGCTTTGTGCTGTCATTGTAGGATTCTGCCATTCCTGTCTCAGTAGAATGGTGACACTGGCATGGGCTCAGCCTGCCTACACATTTATGTGCTGTAAACAACATACTCTCATTTTAAAGAACTTCTTCTTTTTTTTTTAACAGTTAATCCATGGCATTTCTGACCCTTGTGGCTGCAGAGTACTTTGAAAGACATAGAACTGATTTAGTGTTGTTTTCCTCGATCTGTCAGTGGCCCTAATTGTTAGCTCTTAGGGCTCAGCTTCCCACAGGCCTTTCAGGGATAGCAGTTAAAAGCCCCGTGGTGGTTCGGTCTGTCTGTCTGTCTCTGTTTCAACTTTGATGTTTTAATGAGAAGAAATAGGGACAGGACTGAAGCCAGGAGTGGGAGAAAAAATGAAACAAGAATTGAAAAAATGCAGCGGAGGAAAATTTAAGATGTGACAACAGCCACAGTGAAACAAAGAAGGGGAAGAGGAAAAAAGGGAGGAAAGGACAAAACACACAACAAAAAGGGCAAAAAACTCACGTGCATAGATAGGTAGGTGGGTACTTCTTCTAAAGGATGACGCCTGTGAGAAGAAGGAAATGAATAAGTAATAACTATAAAGTCATTTAGTACAGATAAAACTGTTTGTGAGACTATCAGCTCCAGAGACCCTCCCTGGTGCCTGGCTGTGAGATTCCCCTAATGCTGCTTATGGGCAGAATTGGATCCTGCGGCTAATGTAGAGTTTCTTTTATCACTAACCCATGGAAAAACTGCCCTCAGCATCTACGGATGTTGCACTGAGCAGGGCCAGACTGGGCGCTGCTGTAGCCCAGCACTGAAGAAGTTGGGCTGATCCTTATGGGTCCCTTCCAAATCATAAGGAATGGAAACGTTTGCTCATGGCTACCCAATTTTCGACAACTGGCTGATGAAGTAGCAGGAAGAACAAAACAGCAGTGATGTAGTGAAATAATTTTCACGTTTTGCTCAGGTGTCCTATCTCTCCCTGAATGAAAATACAGCTAAGAGATATTTCAGCTGTAAGTTCAATATGCGTGCCCCCAAGCAGGGGTTGTTTCTAACTCTCCATCTACTTCTGTTGAGGTTATGTTGTTGTTTTTCTGCGTAGTGTGGCTGCATTATCTTAATAAATGATTTGTTGTGAGAAATTATTTTCCTTTAAAACATGTGACAGCTGCACAAGTTTTTAATAAAGTGTTTCGAAAATGCAACAGGCTGAAAAAACTGGGCAAGAACTCAACTTGGTAATAAACTGAATATGCCTCTAATTGCATTGAATTTACAAGTAATAGGATGAAGCAATATTGGAAATTACTTCTGACTGAAATTCGGTGCCTAAAGGCTGACAATGTTCCCTCAAACTTCCAGAGACTGAATAAAATTGCTGTATCATTATTCGTTTCAAATTTCTGCCACTTTGAATCTGAAAATGAATGACAGCAGGCTGCCTTCCTGCAGACAGACGTGCCAATAAATGTGCCACAAAAGCTAATATTTTCTTTGAGACAAGATTTATTTTTGGACTTCAATTTACATTTACTGTAAGTTGATCTGGCTGTGTGTAACACCAGGCTCAGTATGTACTTAAACCCACATGTTTCCCTGGGCTCAGCCTGTCGATCTAGATGATGCTCATCATCAGGCTACATCTCTGTGCCCCATGCCAGCAATTTGGGCTCAGTCTTAATCTGTGTATGAACTCATTTTCTATCATATGTATAAATAATTAACATCTTGATTATTGAAACCCCATCAGATAAATTCCTTTCATAACACAAATCCATAGATAGAGGCTGGTTGGGAAGGTGACTTTTTTTTTTTTTCCATGACCCTGAATTAAGTCCTGTGTTGACCAGAATGACCATTAATCACTGTGATCAGATTACTGACAGAGTTACCAAGTGGAGTCACTTCAGGCATCTCAGTTTACCCAGGAAAGAGGCGCCGGGTTTGCATCACACAATGAGCCCAGCAATGGTTTCTGTGGGTCAAGGCTGATGTATATTTGCGCAGCCCCATGGATCTTGTCTGTCTGTCTGCGTTCTTGAACCCCTTGCTGATAAATCCAGGATTGCTTCCCGCAGCATGGGTAACCTTACTTTTGTGCCATAAATAGATTTTCAAATGCCTCATAGATAAAAGCACGAAGAAAGGGTGTGCTCGCAGGTCAGGCACAGTAAATCAGACTGCTTCACAGATTGCTCTGGAGTTTAAATATGTTTGTATACCACAGGGAAGGAAAGCACAGACTCCATGGCTGTGTCCGTGCCTACTGCTACTCAGCACAGTGTGAATGAGAACACAACTGAGGAGAAAATATTAAAAGACATTTAAAAACTTGTCAGGCCAGTTATTAGGTTAAGTAACATTCTCTCTAACCTCAGCTTTGTGGATCAGCTTTCCTGATGAGATCACAGCAGGTTAATGCAGGAGAGAGAGAATTGGAATCAGAAACAGAGAAGTCCATCATCCCCAGGAACAGTAGAATGTGTGACACGATAAAACTGTGCTCATCAGAAATACTTCATCTTTTCCATGCCTAGGACAATGTTTTGGCAGTATTACAAGGAATGAAAAGGGCCATACACGCAGTTCATCAAAGTTAGTATCTTGATTCTTTCAAAGCGTAAATAATAAAACAGGAAAATGCATTTCCAGGTTTTCTTTTCTTTTCTTTTTTTTTTTAAGGCGTGCTTTGAGGAATACACCTCACAGGTCCAAGCTAAAATGAGTTTCTGTCACAAGACCCAGGTCCTTCTGACAGAGAAAAATGCTGAACCAATACAAACAAAAAGCTGCTGGAGGGAACAGGAGAGCTGCCACCCAGGAGTCACATGTCTGTGGTGATAGCTGCCACAAGACACAGTCAGAATGGCAATCCCCATATTGCCAAAGTGCTTCTGCACTCCCTAAGAAACATTACAGGATCTGTTGCATAGGCTTCTTTTGAAAGAGAAACGATCTATCACCTGTGCCTTCTGGTGTCTCTGCTGCCTTCCTAGCTGCATCTCCCTCTCCTGATGCTTCCAGGCGATGTGCCTTTCAGCCGGTACTCCAAATGATGCCATAATGTATCAGCCCTGCCAGAAGACCACACACAGGAGATGGCTGGTAGGACTGACCTTTAATCTACCAACTTTCACTTATCTGAGTCTTCACCCAATGCTCTACCACCAACACGCAGTGTTACAGGATTGGGCATCTTCAACCTCAACACCAACATGTTTCTATGCTCGTGTATGGGACAAGGGCAACTCTGTAACAGAATAGAATAGTTTAGTTGGAAGTTACCATCAAAGTTTACTGGGCCTGACTGCCCTGACCTTCCTGTCCCCTTTCCCTCCCATCCTGGATGTCATCTCAGCCCTCCTCTTAGCATTACTCACACAGTAATGTGTGAGCAGTACTTACACCTGTACAGATGCCACTGAAATGTACACAGGAGAAAAAAAGATAGGTATGAAATCTGTACGAAAGGCCATCTCAAAGATAGAGCTGGCATGGCAACACTGTATCTTGTCCTTGAAGGACTAATGCAACAGGGAGCTGAAACTCTGCAGTTGTTTTGTGACAGCCTGAGCACATCCTGCACCTTCCTTCTCCTTCCCTGGTGCAATGGGAGTGACACACACTATCAGGCAAAAGATATGGCCATGGGTATTCTTAGCACAAGCCTCACACACAGCACAGTGTGACATGTTTAGCTATAATTCAGCATGGTGATGCCAGCCAAATTAGTAACCTGCTATCCGGAAGACATTTAGTAAGTCACAAACAGCCCGAGGAAATCCCTGTCTGTACTTAAGACAATTCAACAGAAGCACATGCGTTCATCTACACAGGAAATCCAAAGGAGTTCCACAGTATATGCTGCTTGGTGGCATCCTAGCAGTATTTGTTGCTGCTTCCTGCAACACGTGGTTTATGCTGTCCTGTCTTCATGAAGGGTGAGAGAAAAGCCTGAAAGGCCAGATCTACTTTATATTCCAGTATTTTATTAATAAAGAAAGAGGTTCTTAGAAAGCAACAGCTAGGAAAGCTGGTGCACCTCCGTTGCTGTGTTTTATTCACAGGGCTATTGCTTCCTCATTTGATATAAATTAGGAGGCACTTAAAAAATAAAAATTCAATCCAAACCCATGTGATTATTTCAGTGTACTTTTACTTTATATTATTGTTTTAGCTAGATACAATGTCTATATTTAAAATATATGAAATGTAGATGCACTTATGTTCAAAGTGATATATGATAAAGATAGGAAAAGGTGAACTCTTGATATATTACAAGTCTTTCATACCATGAAATAACTATTGCCTATTATTTTACTCCTGACATTTTTATTTTTAAGGGAATTTCACTTGATTTGTATTGCTGACACCACTGATATGTTGCTTCCAGTGACCTTACATCCAGAATCAGTAGGGTGTGACATTTGATGGCCCAGATAAAAAACAATAATGGTAGAAGAGAAGGTTTATTTTACTGGTCATAAATTAAGTTTAAATAACTCAGAATTTATTTTAAACTCTTCAGTACTTTTTACTGTCTATCCAATAAATGTATTTATTACAGGCAGCTTAGCTCACATTTTCTTGGTGGAGCAGTTTACTTAGATGCTTATGTGCAGCCTTGCCTTTATCTTGGTAGAAAGCAACGCTTCCCACAGATGAAAGGAGATTGCTCTCAGGTACTAAATAGAAAAGAAGCTAACAGCACTGTCTTCTGAGGTTGCCTACATGAAAAGGGGTAGAAGAGTGAGAGCAGCAGCTTTTGACATGTGTAAAATCAATGAATATTAAGATGTTATAATTACAAAACAAACAGGAGAGTTTGGTAAAGCAGATAATGATAACGAGAATAGATAGAAAGCTTACCTTGTCCTGGGCTCACTTAGAAAACTCCAGCAGAGCAGATCTCCAGGAAAGATCCTTCCCCACTGGTAGCCAGCTCTTTAATAGGTCTAGGAGGGGTGCAGCCAGGCTCCACCCCTTCCAGCAGCACAGGTGAATTGCCTTCACCTGTGCTCCTGTGGCTGACTCTTGGCTCGCCTCAGGTGATCAATCAGAGGTTCAGGCCATGACCCAGCAGTTCCCATACAACATGATGCACAATAGTGAAGATGTGGGTTTGGAGAATTCTGCAGCATCTCTGTTAGTATATGTGAATAGGGACTGACAAAAGTAGGTTGTCACACCTGTTCATTACCTTTTTGTGCCATTTGCCCCACAAATGTTCTCTTGAGGCACTTTTTGAGAATGTCAATACAAATCACTTTAGTATGTATTTCTCCACACTGAAAGTGTTCAAAGACCAAGATCTCTGGTTGTGACTTGAAAAAGGAGGAAGAGCATGAGAAATTCTTTCCCCAGAAATGCTAATGTTGGCCTCAAGGCACAGGCAGATTTAGGTGATGATAAGCAAGGCTGGTGGCTCAGCAAAACCTTATAAATCCCAGAAAAAAAAAACAACAAAACCTTCCTACCCTTCCCCAATTTGTAGCTAGTTCCAAGGGGCCAGCAAAGTCATGAGGAAGGTATGATTCTACGCACCAGCATCTGTGAAAATGATAAATTTCTATTGAATTGTATTAAGAATTTTTATAAGAGTGAGATCTTAGTAAAGATGTGTTCCTGCATTGTAGGGTTGTACTCTGTGTTCCCTTTTGTCATGTTGTATTGCATAGATCTGTTTAGGAGATCAGTCTGTCTCTTATGCATTGTCCATGGGTGATGATGGAGAATTTGTTTGCACGGCTAAGTCCTGCAGGCAATTATGGGAAAGGTTCACAAATCTTTGTTGTTCCTCAAAAAATCTTGTTGGATTTCCTGGTGCACCTGAATCAACTGAAGCCAACCAAGCTTTCTGTTATAACAGGGGCAGACTCTTTCCCAGGGAAGGAGTGGGAGAAAATTAGCTTTCCAAGCTGAAGATGTCTCTTTCTGTTGAGCAGACATCATCTGTGTCTTCCATATAGGTAGAAAAGCACAAGAGATTTTGTATACTAACATGTGAACTCTCCTTCTTTCAGGCAAAGACTTATTGCTCCCAGTATTTATTTCTCTTTCCCTAAAACAGTTGAGGTCTGGCCTGAGAGACCTGGCCTATCAGTAGAGATAACCAGTCCTATGTTCACCTGCAGGGATTCTTGTTGCCATGAAGCAGTACAGCATCATGGCCTAGCCTGAACCTCAAAACCTTCAGGTAGCTCCCAGCATGGCTGGTACTTCTGCATCCCAGTGGAAGGATAATGACTAGTCATAGGAAAAAACCTTGCCTGTTTGGACCTCTGAGAAGGATTCAAGGCATGGTTTGAGCCTGAAGCATGAAATCAGAGCAGAGATGGAATGACAAAATCATAGAATTGTTGAGGTTGGAAAAGACCACTAAGGTTTCTAGTCCAACCATCAATTCATCCCCACCACACCCACTAAATCACATCCCTCAATGCAACATCTGCACACTTCTTTGTATGATCAATGAATATTAAGATGCTACAATTATGCAATAAACAAGAGAGCTTGACAAAGCAGTCTGTGATAACAAAAAGAGAAAATATAGAAGGCTTACCTCTATCCTAGGCTCACTTAGAAAACTCCAGCAGAGCAGATCTCCAGATGAGATCCTTCCCCACTGGTAGCCAGCTCTTAAATAGGTCTAGGAGGGATGGAGCCTGGCTCCACCCCTTCCAGCAGCACAGGTGAATTGCCTTCACCTGTGCTCCTGTGGCTGACTCATGGCTCGCCTCAGGTGATCAATCAGAGGTTCAGGCCGTGACTCAGCAGTTCCCATACATTCTTAAACATCTCCAGGGATGGTGACTCCATCACTTCCCTGGGCAGCCTGTTCACAGTTTCACACCATCCCCTTATCTTCTTCTCTGGACACCTGTAGGAGTGGAAATGGCCTTCAGCAGCTCCCAACACGCACCCAGGCTTTTGTCTCCTTGAACAAGGAGGCACTCCTTAACAACTTCTTCTTGTGTAACTTATGGTGGAGCATGGCAGCTCCGAAACTGGGCCTCGCCTCTCCTCTCCTTGCCTTCTCTTCAGCTCCTCTGGTGGACATGGAGGGATTTTCCTAACAACTGTGTATGTCTATTTTCCACGTTTTATGAGAGTTCCCATGTCTGATAGTCAGTATGCCAACCATTAATATATAGCATGCTTTTACTGTGAATTCATGAAGTGTCACTGCAATTAAACTTCTCCAATAATGACATAATTTATTAACGAAACAAGGTTCATCTTGAAGATCTTTAAAAGAAAATAGAGTTGGTTGTCAAAATACCACTATGCCAAAGAGCAAAGCGTTCTTTTTAGTGCCCCAGCTTGCCCTCTTCCAGACAACTCACAGAAAGCAATAAGGAGGAGATAAGCAGAAAAGAAAATCTCCCTCCCGCCCCCCCAGAAAATAAAATAAAATAAAAAATAAAAAAACCCCAACACAACCAAACTCCAAATCTTCCATTTGAAAAATCCCAGGAATCTTCTAAGTGGTTTGTTCTGAATCTTCTCAGTTAGAAGGAAGACAGCAGCGAGCTGTAGCTGCCTTCCCTGTTAAGGTCAAAAGGCTTCTCCAGAAGGCTGGAGAACAGTCCTGCAGTACAAGCTACAGAAGGAGAATCTGCCTCACAGAGTGTAAAAATGTGTTAGTACGGAGCTCGGCTGATGATCTAGTGGTCTTTTCCACCTATTTCTGATCATACTCTCTGAAATACCCTGATGTAAGTATTAATTGAGTCAATTAATAAAAAAGAAATTCAAGTAACTGCTACATCAGTGATATTTGTAAATCTAAAATGTTTGCTTTGTATTAATGGTCTCCGTATGGTTGCAGAAGTTCTCTATTTGCTGTATGTGCAGTTTGTTTTCATTTATTTATTTTTAATAAAATGCTATAAATATTTGCTGTTGGAAGAGAGCAACACTATGGGAAGCTTTGAAGTGATATTCATAAGAACTGTGAACACTGACTAATTGATTAACCAAGAGTTCTTGAAGAGAATGATTTGATTACGGTAATTTATAGAGGTTGTATCTTTTGTCATCATTTGTCTTTGAAAACATAGAAGAAAACTGCTTCCAAGTGCATGTAGCCGCTGGCATGAGAGATGGTGTGCACAACATCATCAGTTACAGCAGACTGCTCAATTTTGTACCTTTCCAGCTAGTCAAATATCCAATAACAATACACACAGGCACACACACACACACACAAAAGCTCTTTGCACTCAAAACTTTTCTAACATTGCCTTAGAAAAATATTTGGGGTTGTTCACCGCTCTGCTCTCTGTAGCATAAACATTTATTTAAATGGGGCTGTCTTTTCAGTAATGAAGAATGAAGGAAAAACAATGGTCTGATTTTGACAAATTAACTTGTGATTTGGAGAGTCAGTGAAGCAGGGAAGAGACATTCCTAACTATACTAATTAAATGAGCTTGCAACATTTATTTTAATGCAATGGAACCAGCCATATGAAGATGAACATTTTAATTTATTTTGCAGTGACATTATGAAAAATTTCTCTGCTGCAGATTATCTGCAAAAACAAATCTCATCAGCATCTAGGTTTGTGCATGAAATTTACATCTCTCACACAAGTTTGACCTTCCCCAGCGAAAACAAATGGAATGTGCTAAGTT